CCCCCCACTAGCTCTCCTTAATAGCCCTGCCATGGCTCCCACTGCCTCCAGGCCTATGAGGCCCAGCTGTCTGTCCAGCCTCTGGCATGCTCAGTACTCCAGTCTTTCCGGCATTCTTTCATTCCCTCGAAGGAACCGGTTTCTTCCTACCACAGGGCCTTTGCACATGCTGTCCCTCTGCCTTTTCATTCCTTGGATCTCTGCTCAAATGCCAATTCCTTACAGAAGACTTCCCCAACCACCTCACACCTTAGGCTAGGCCAGGGATCCTGCACACTTCCACATGGTAGGAGCTCCATTTGGTGAACAATTCATGACTCAAAAGTTTGTCACCTGATTTGAATGCAAATTTCTATTTGGTTCCCTCCCGGAATACCAAATAGGACATCCCTCTGGGTTCGAAACTTTGGTTTTCCTATTAGGAGCCAGGAGCAGTTTCAAGATGCAAATGATTCTGCTCCCCCATGTCAGCAACAGCAAACAAGCACTGGTGTTGGCAGGTGTGGTCTCTTTGCTGGGAGGGATAACATCAGGGAACCGAGAGGACTGGTGGGAGGGGAACAGCTTATAAATTCCTCCTGCCAGCACAATCAAGGCAGAACTTGTCAGCCTGAATATTCTATTCTCATCAGACCAGCTGGTAACTGGTAACCTGCACCCTTATGCATTGGAGTTGAAGGCCATCTCCGTGAGTCTCTTGCAAACCTGCTGTTAAATGCAACGCTGTGGTTAGTTGGGTTTTGTTTTGTGAGGCTTGGCATCCTTGTCATTGGTTCGCAGGTTCAAAAGCAACTGAGTTGGAAAGAATTTTTTCTGACAAAACTTTATCAGAGATTCAGCTTCCTTCCCTTAAACAATGAGAACTGCGTAATCCAGCGAGTTTTCCTTTTTCAATTTACGTGTGCGATATTTCAAAGTACGCAGCTATAACTCACAGATGACACATTAAAAAAAAAAGTTTCATTAATTGATTTCAGAGAGAGGATAAGAGAGAGAAACATTGATGATGAGAGAGAGTCGCTGATCACTTGCCTCCTGCACGACCCCCACTGGGGATTGAGCCTGCAACCCGGGCCTGTGCCCTGACTGGGAATCGAACTGCAATCTCCTGGATCCTAGGTCGATGCTCAACCTCCGAGCCATGCCGGCTGGGCTCATAAATTATACATTTTAAATGCAGTTGCTCCTAGACTTAAGGATCTATGGATCTTAGAGGAGCCAAACCTTTAACAGCAGGTTCGAATTCCCCTAAACACTCTGGGCTCAGTGGTTTCTTGCCAGATTTGTGGATCTGGGTAAGGCCTTGGGTTTCCTCTAGGCTGGACAGGTAATGAGCAGTTTGTGGCCTTGAGATCTTAATGGACAGTCTCTTCCCAAGTGACCGTCGGGAAGAGAAGATGCTGGTAACAGAAACACTTACAGGAAAGACAGGAAGGAAAGAAACGGGTAGTAACCTGAAGACGGCCTGGGAGAGAGATCAGTCTTAGAGAGAAGGTGGTAGAAAGACAAACAGGCTGGGACAGAGGCGAAGTTTGGGAAGATCCCAGAGAGATATGTTAATCTTATATATTAATAGGAGCCAGAGTCACTTGGATGATGGGGGATGGGTGGGGTTGAGTGTTAGGGTTTTAATGTCCTAGTAAATGACACTATTGTTCCTTACCTGGCTTTGAGAGCCAATCCAG